CCAAGCTCCTCTGTCCAAGCCATAGAGGGCTGCTATCTTAATTTGCTATACCTGGGTTTGTGACCTTTTTGTTTGTGGACTGTACGTTTTATTATCAACATCCTTTTTAATCGACTTTTTTTTTTACACTGAATTCTGCTTTTATTGTTGATATTACTGTTTGAGGCTATTTTCTTTTAACAGTATATAGCCGGGTTTCATTTTTTCACCTTCTTGGCAGTCACCGTCTCTAGCTAGGGGAATTGAGCCCATTTATCTGTACTGTGATGACACCTGTATTTGGTTTTGTTTCACATTTTTCATTTGTCATACACAGTTCTGTCCTCTATTCTCTTTGCTTCTATCCTGCTTGGACAAGTATTCAATCATTCTTACCACTCCATCATTATTCTAATTTGGAATGTTGATCATATTTTTCCATTAATCAATTTATTATATACCCCTCCCTAAGCACTGACAATGTTTGAACATTAAATAATGATAGTCATTCATATTCCCCTCACTAGGATGAGACTTATAATACTTCCTTATAGTACTACATTTTTCCAAATACATACTTCTAAAATAAGCTATCATATATGCCCAGTATAGAGCAACCTGAACATAATAACATCAGCCTCCACCTTCCATCCAAAAAGGTTTTCTGCCAACTTGAACACATTAAGTTTTAGGGATATATATAATAAAATTCTGAAATCTCTAATATTTAAATCATCTTTATGTTATGAATATTTAAAACCTAAATTACATTTTTAAAACTTACTTCTCTTCCTTGCAATTTATGAAGTGTTACCAAACTATTCACATGCATCTTAAAACATTTATTTTCATCATCAAACTACTTTTTGAATCATCTAACAGTTTTTCAGAGTAAAACATTTTCACTTGTTTGAAAATTAGCAGTTTTGAGTCTGGTATAATGTCACTAGAAATTTTATCCAAAGGGACCATCAACCATTTGCAAAGAATTAAAATCACTGGACTTTCTCATTCCACCTAAGACAAGTGGACATCCATAATTTCTGCAACCAAACCACTTAATCCATCACATTTCAAAGAAATATTCAAGAAGCCAGTTAATAAAGAAATCTAACCCAACTATAAGGCTATGACTTCCAGAGTAATTCTAGACGTATTACATTCCATACTTTCTTTATTAATTGCTCTCTGGCTGCACGGGGTCTTCCTTGTTGCTCGCAGGCTTTCTCCAGTTGCGCTGTGAGGTGTCTCAGCGCACTGGCTCCTCGCATTGTGGAGCAGGGGCTCTAGGGCACACAGGCTTTAGCAGCTGCAGCACGTGGTTTCAGGCCTTTGACACTTGGGCTTCAGTAGTTGCCTCACATCAACTATGCAGCACAGGCTCTGTAGTTGTGGCACATGGGCTTAGCTGCCCCAGGGCATGTGAATCCTCCCAGACCAGGGATCGAACCCGTTTCCCCTGCATTGGCAGGCAGATTCTTAACCACTGGACCACAAGGGAAGTTCTTCATTACTTTCTTAAAAAGAAAATTCAGGCAGGTGATCTCTATGAGCTTCCCGATGCTGGCACAGGCTGTTTTCAGGCTAACATTTCTTTCCCAAATAGTATTTTGTTGTTCCAAACAACAGCCTTGAAAGAACATCACATAATATGAGGGGCTTTGTAAGGCAACTCTTTTCAATCTTCAGGTGGAAAAAGAAAATCATCTTACATTTAATAGTAGGTAATAACTGAGAATTTGTTTTTTCCTTATTCTTAAAAAGTATTTATTTCTTTGGCTATACCAGGTCTTGGTTGAGGCACTCAGATCTTTGCTCTTCCTTGTGGTACTCTGGCTGGATCTTTCAGTTGCGGCATGTGGGATCTACCTCCCAACCAGGAACTGAACCCACACCTCCTGCACTGGGAGCTTGGAGTCTTAGTCACGGAACCACTAGGGAAAACTCTGCTTTTTTATTTCTATAATTTCATTTCCAGTTTGAAAAAGAAATTCTTATATAAGACATATTACAAATTCATAATTTGTTCTTCATGCTCTTTCTACTCCATTATGTCTAGTATGTATTACAATACTCACTGCTTATCACTGTTTCTACACTATCTTCCCCTACCTTGAGATTTGCAATTACTGAACTTTTATCTGGTTAGAGAAATTTCTTGACTATTTTTCTTAGGAAGAAAACATGGAGATATATTTGGTCTCTATACACTTGAAAAATTTGAATTTTATCCTAAATGTTGAATAGTATTCTCAGAGTAATTGAGATACTGCTATTGTCTCCTAGCTTCTAATTTCTACTTATTCTTAGATTTCAAGAAATTCATCTTCCTAGGGCTCAGCGTTCTTTCTTCAATCTGGATTCAAGTCTTTTCCTCTTGGTTTGGCAAGTTCAATTTTTCACTCAAAATCCCCAAAATATACCAAAATAATAACTGTGGTTATTTCTGGGCAGCAGAGTTACTGATCATATTTATTTTCTCCTTCATAGATTTCTGAATGTTTTTGATTTGTCTGGTAATTGACACATGCATACACAGAACAAAGTTATTAAATAGAAAAAAGTTTTAAGTAAAAGAAACTAAGCCGTGTCTTCAAGTAAAAAAAACAAAGACTGAGAAATGGTACGAGGTTTAACAAGATGATTCTCCAACATCTGCTCTGTACTGCTTCCATTCCAGCCCCAGATTAGAAACTGATTTTGTGCTATTAAATTTAAAAACACACTCTTAGATTATGCTCAAAACTCCTGGGGCTGGCTAAAGGATTTCATTAGCATCTGTTCTCTGAAACAGAGCTTTCCCAACTCAAAAGCTAAGAATAATTTAATCTTTTTTCAAACAATACTATTATAATACTAAAAATTTTATTTATGCCTATCATGACCAAGAATTTATCAAGTATAGCTGTGCAGAAGCCAATTTTATTCTGAAATTTCAAATTCTTAAGAACAAGATGTCTAGGTATACAGGCAGTAAGCTAGTATTATAAATAGTTCTGTATCTTGGCACAGGTATTTTTCTATTCATATGTGCTTGTTCTAAAGACAGCCAAAACAGTAACTGAATTGATAGCAACCTAGCCAGTACTTTCCCCTCTCCTCCTTCCTTAATGCAGACCCATGAGTTCATTTGGAGCAGTAAAATGCACAATTAAAAACGTTCTGCTCCCCAGACCACATTACACTGGTTGGAGGATGTGCAGAGTCTGTCCCAGCTTTCTAGTTTCGAAGAGAGGTAAGCAAAGACAGGCCTAGGCTTCTGGGAAAAACTATTTTTTCTGTCTGAAAAAAAGAACTCAGCTGGCATGAGCCTTGCCTGTAACATTTACAAACATAATGAGCTACATGCTAAAGTTGCTAAGAAACAGGAAAGAGAAGAGGAGCCCTGGTCCTGGGAGAAAACAAAATCTTTTGGTTATATTGATGTAAAATTTACATAAGAGCCTTAAAATCAGACAGACAAGAGAAATGTTAGTTATCCAAAAGAAATAAATCTTCTGACATTGTGAGTAAAAAGCAAGCATATATAAGAAAATGTTATACCTGTGGGTCAAAAGACTGCTTGCTATGAAAGAGGAATCTACAATGCCATCATACAAAATGGATTTTTTAAATTCTAAGTTAACTAGTTCATACACAAAGAAACATTTAGCTAGCCCCTAAAATCCCATATGATATAGTCTAGCCTCCTATTCCTAGGACAGGCAGAAGCAGAGAGGAAAGATGACACAGATTATTTTTTATCAGTACTACAAAGTATAGGCCCAATAACCAATCCCTTTATAGCTTCTGCACACAATTATTATTATATTATTATTATTATTATTATTGGGGCTTCCCTGGTGGCTCAGATGGTAAAGAATCCGCCTGCAATGCTGGAGACCAGAGTTCGATCCCTGGGTCAGGAAGATTCCTCTGAAGAAGGGAATGGCTACCCACTCCAGTATTCTTGCCTGGAGAACTCCATGGAGAGAAGAACCTGGTGGGCTACAATTATTAGGGTTGCAATTATTACTATAATTTATCATAAAATATCTCTGGGCAATTGTCCTAAGCTTCTAAAATATTATTTATAACAAAGTTTCCACATTATAAAATTAACTTCAGGATTTGAAGTTTTGTCTAACACAAGTGAGCCCTGTATAAAACAGTATAATAACCTCAAAAGACTGAGCAGAGAGCATTAGTAAATGTTAATATAAATCAACAATGGTTTTATGTAAAAGAACCTATATTCCAGCTCTCAAGAGGTTCAGATTTAATTAACTCATCTCTAAGATACAAAAGAAATATCATCACTTATTCAGTAAAAATATAACAAATTCAGTAAATTGACCAGACTCTGTTTAACTTATGACAAATAATTACTTCATTATTTTTTAAACTTTATTTCAACTTTCCTTTAGTTTTATTAAAAAAAAAAATCTTTTAACGAAATGTCAAATCAAACGGGGGGGACACAGAGTTTAAGAAAACCTACATGAAAACAGCTAAAACTAAATGCTACATGTAGAAAAAAAAATAAAGATAATAAAAAGCACAGAGTACTTCTGAATTTGTTTGTCTTTAAGTGTATCTGTTAAAAAATGAATTTTCAAGAAGTTATTTGTGAGTAAAATGTTAATCAGGTTATGTACGAGTCCAGAAATGTAAACAAACATTTCTGTCTGTTACAGGCAAACAAAAAAACACCCGAGAAATAAGTATATTTCTTCTCCAAGCATCCAGTGCCTAGTACAGCATTCTATAAATATTTGTTGAATGAATGAACAAACAAGGTCTATGACAAAGAAAAAAGATATATATAAAACACAGTCTGGTTCATAACACTTCAATCTAAGCTGTCTATACCAAGATAACTCTATTTTGGTGATGAGAGACAGGAGGCCAGACTAGTGAAACTGACACATGAATGTCATCTCAGAAGGTTAATCAAATGTTGGAGTTCGCTTAGATGAGCTAGAACTAGAAAAGCCACTAACACCATCACAGTATGTAATTACAGGACTGTTCCAACTTACCTCACACAACATTCTACTGCACGAAACCAATGAGGCATCTCATCATGAAGAGTACACAACTGGAGGCAAGACAGAAACACCTTCTCGGCATCACTGTACCAGCCTGCATCTGAGAGAAAGCCACCTAGAGGACAAGAAAAACCAAAAACTTCAGATAATTTAACAATCACCTGAAAGCTAAAATGACATGCTTACCATGAACGTTATCTAAAATGGAAAAAACCTAAATTTTTAAAATACTTTCAAACAAACTAGTGGCATTAGATCCAAGTTGAATCCCTGAATAAGGAACCAAGAGTTTTAACCTTCTAAAAATATTCCACTAAGAGCTGACATTTTCCAGTTAATTAGCCACTATATTTAGTGATTTTTCTAACATTTTCATCACGCAGGGTTAACATTAACTTTTCAATCAAATAAACTTCATCTTCTTCCAATAAAGCACATGACAGAGGACACACAGATTAAGAGAGACAGTAGTGCTAGATCATCTCAATTTTTTTTTAAGCAAAAAATTAAACTGCTGTCCTTCAACAGTCCTAATGCACTGAGCATCTAGGCATCACTTCCTTAGAATACTGTCCATCTTTTTTGAGGCTCAATACCCCCTCCTAGTGGTTTAATACATTTTTTGATAGTGCCAATTAGTCTTAATAGTGTCAATAGAAACTGGGTTGAAGAAAAAATATTTTGCTCAGACTGGTGTTTTATGTTTAATTGTCTGTAATGAAACAAATATTTTAAATGGAGAGAAATGTGCCTTAGAATACTTCTTCCCCTAAATATGATTATTATTTTAGGGTACTCACTAAATGACTAGATTAATGTGATTATAATAGTCATATTAAGCAATCTCCTACTCATCATCTCAACATACTGAGCATTGTGCTGGTTATTAGGCTATCATGTCTTTCAGCTTCAAACCAACCTTTCTAGGCTATTTGATGACGCGGGGCTAGGACTCTATTATCCCATTTCTCCTTTGCCAGCTGGTCCCCTGGTAGTCTCTATAAAAAAGGCATCAGAGAGAAGGCTGCAAGGCTGCAGAAGTAAGAGACACTCCCCAGTCCCTCCTGGTTTCGGTCAGAAAGGGCTCTGCTGACAGTGCCCAAAGGTAATGCTTCTTTACTCCGGCAGTGCAATTCATCTCTCAAGTCAATTTCAGTTGCAGATCTCCAGCACTTACAAATCTAGATTCACAGTATCCCATCAAAGAACTAGGTGCCCCTCCTAGAGGTCAAGATTATAGACCCATGGGCCCTCTTTTCAGAATTCTGAGGCACCCATACCAGTGAAGCAGGATCCCAGCTTTGCAATGACCATGCAGCTTGTGGGATCTTAAGTTTTAAAACCTTTGCACTGTATACTTTGGGTAAACTGCATGGCCTATGAAGTACATCTCAATAAAGCTGCAATTTTTAAAAAAGTGTACATCCCACAGACTTCTGGTATTACTGTTTCAGTAATTTTAGGATCAAGACTGATAATATAGATGTTCAATCTGGCTCCTTACAGAGGTCAGATTGATATGAGTGTAGAGATAACAGAAGAGCTCAGTGAGTATTAGCCTTCCTGCCTTTTGTCTTCCTTAATACTAAATATCTCCCATATAGATTTTTACATGACCATCTAGGACTAAATGGATGTCAATATTAACATTCATCAAGATCATAAACACGCTGTTAACGGACATTCTTAAGTCATAATTCTTTGTTGCAATTTATAGTCCATGGGACGATCAAAGGATAAATGATGAAAATTTTTTTCAGAAAAGAATGGTGAGTTCCACCAGCAAACTGTCTATGACCACTACAAAAAATTTTCTCTAATATTGAAGGAAATGATCATGAAAATTTGTTGGTGAAGAATATATGTGGATATGCAAGAGAGAGACACACACACATTAATGTGAGAAGTTAAAAATGAGTGTTAGACATATGTAAAATAGGGCAAGTTTGATGCATGAAGCAGAGCACCCAAAGTTCATGCTCTGTGACCACCCAGAAGGACAGGGAGGGAGGTGGGAGGGAGGTTCAGGATGCGGGGGACGACACATGTATACCTGTGGCAGATTCATGTTGATGTATGGCAAAACCTACCACAATACTCTAAAGCAATTATCCTCCAATTAAAATAAATAAATAATTTTTTTAAAAAGAATGGTAGAATGTAATGATGGAACAGTCCTGTATCCTGATGGTAATGGTGGTTATATGAATATTTACATGGAATCAACTGCACAGAAAAAGCATACACGACAACTCAAAAACCAAACACTCCAGTTAAAAATGGGCAGAGGACCTGAATAGACATTTTTCCAAAAAAGACTTACAGATGACCAACAGACACATGAAAAGATGCTTAACATCACTAATCATCAGGCAAATGCATATCAAAACCACAATGAGATATCACCTCCTACCTATCAGGATGGCTACTACCACAAAACAACAATTAACAAGTATTCATGAGAATGTGAAGAAAAAGGAACCTCCTGCACTGTTTGTAGGATTGTAAATTGGCACAGCTACTATGGAAAACAGTATGGAGTTTGCTCAAAAAATAACAAATAGAACTGCCATATGATCCAGCAGTCTCACTTCTTAGTATTTACCCAAAAAAAGGCAAAAACACTAATTCAAAAAGATACACGCACCCCAATGTCCACTGCAGCATTATTTATAATAGCCAAGATATGTAAGCAACCTAAATTCATCAACAGATGAATGGAAAAAAAAGGTATGAGATACATTTTATACACACATACAGTAGAATACTACCCAATCACAATCTTTTAAAAAAGGAGAAATCTTGCAACAACACAGATAAATCTGAAGGGTATCACGCTAAATGAATTAAGTCAGAGAAAGAAAAATATCATATTATCTCACTTATATGTAGAATCCAAAACAAAATGAAAATAGAGTCATAAATATACCAACCAAACAGCTGGTTGCCAGAGCAAGGAGGTGGGGATGGGGTGAAATAGGTGAAGGGGATTAAGCAGTATGAACCTCCAGTTAGAAAACTGGAATATAATATAGGAATGTAATATATAGCCTAAGAAACATGGTCAATATTATTGTAATAACTTTGTATGGGGACTATACTTGTCACGCAATCATTTCATAATGTATACAAATTCCAAATCATTGTGCAGTATGCCTGAAACCAACATAATATTGTAGGTCAACTACATTTAAATTAAACACACACACACAAATGAGTATATATAAAAACTAATGAACGTTAAATATTGGATTGGTCAGAAAGTTCCTTTTGAGTATTTCTGTAAGATGTTACGGAAAAACTTGAACAAACGTTTTGGTTAACCTAATAGGTTTGTAGTCTAGGTAAAACTATTAAACCAGTATCAATTTCCTGATTTTGATACTGTCAGTGAGTCTACAATCATTTCAAGATAAGTATTTGACAAAAAAGGGTAGCAATAACTTCAATAATAAGTGCCTGAAACGTATTTACCTATGTAAATAATTTATAAAAGTTGTATTAAAATATTATGCAAAAGTTAAACAGTATTTTTTTTGTACGTGTAGCATAAAAATCTTTTTAGAATCCTTTTCCATTTATGTTTTCAATATTCGTGAACATGCCCATGAGGAATGCAGATTTACCCTCATTTTAGAGATGGGAAAACTCAGGTGCCAAAAGAACTTTGCCCCATGCCACAGCTGTTAAGAGGCTGGTAGCTGTCTGGCACAGTAGAAACTTAACTGGTATGGAATCACAAACCCACAGGGTTCTAAACTTAGCTCCATTACTATGTGACTTGAGCAAGTTACTCAACTTTTCTATTTCCTCATTTGTAAAATGCTATTAATACCATCACATCACTAGAATTTCATGAGGATTTTTTTGGAAAGATAGTATTTAAATGCATAGTATAGCCCTTAGCACAAAGTTAATGCTCAACGTATCACACCTAGCTCTTCCGATGTTTCCCTCATAACCTCTTTATGTTGACTTTGGGAATGTACTGGCAGAATCCTATAATGCCAGCAGGTTTAACTCTGAGTCAGGTCACAGGACAAAACCCTCCTCTATTTTACCAAGACCTACCTAAGACAAAGCCGACCTGAATGGCTTTCTCCTTTACCGCAGCATCCGACTCCGCTATATACGAGCACCGTCTACTGAATGAGTAGGCTAAGACTGAAGCAACTTTCACACCGTGATCCATCAGAGCCTGGAAACAATGATGAAGCAAATGTCTGCAAGAGAAGGAAGAGGTCACTATTGTTATTAGAAAGGTAACATATTTTGTCCTTTTAGAAAACACTTATTTGCCTTTTTGAAGTAATAATACATTTTCAAAGATGCGTTAAGATAAAAAGCAGCTTTTTGCCTGTTATGATGCCATAATAATTCACAGTTAGCCTAATATTTTTTACTCAGTGGATTGAGTGATTCTATATGTGTACATTGATGACAGTGAAGGATAAAATGAACTTCTAACATCAATTTTAAAAACCAAATTATCTTGTAGTTCAACAATGACCCAATTTAAAAATGGGCACTAGATCTGAATAGAGATTTCTCCAAAGAAAATACACAAATGGCCAATAACCACAAGAAAAGACGCTCCATATCATTAGTCATTAGGGAAATGCAAATCAACTCACAAATGAAATAGCACTTCACACCATCTAAGATGGCTATAATAATACTTAAAAAGTGATGGCAAGGATATGGAAAAATTTGAACCTTCATACATGGGGGCGTGTACATATGCTAAGTCATGTCTGTTGTGTCTGATTCTTGCAACCCTATGGACTGTAGCCCACCAGGCTCCTCTGTCCATGGGATTCTCCAGACAAGAATACTGGAGTGGGTTGTCATGCCCTCATCCAGGGGATCTTCCCAACCCAGGGATCAAATTTGGTTCTCTTGCATTGGCAGGTGGGTTCTTTACCACTAGCGCCACCTGGGAAGCCCTCATACATGGGAGTAGGGACATAAAATGGTGCAGCTGCTGTGGAAAACAATTTAGGGGTTACTCAACCTAGTTACATATGCATACAAGAGAACATTATGTCCACACAAAGTCTTGTCCATGAGCACTCACAGCAGTATTATTCATAATAGCCAAAAAGTAGAAACAACCCAAGTGTGCATCAACAGATGACTAAATAACCAAAACACAGTATATCCATATGACGTAAAATTATTCATGAAAAGGAATGAAGTACTGAAACAACAACCATGAATGAATCTTGAAAACATTATAAGTAAAATTCAGTCACAAAAGAGCATGTATTTTATGATTCCATTTATATGAAATGTCTAGAATACATACATCCAGAGACAGAAAGTAGACTATGGGTAGGCCAGGGACTAGGGGTACGGGGAAACAGAGAGTGGCTGTTAACGGGTACCAGGTATCTTTTTGGGATGATGAAAATGTTCCAGAATTAGACAGTGGTGATAGTTGCAGAAACTTATGGAAATACTAAAAAACACTGAATTGTACAGTTCAAAATGGTGAGTTTATGGTATGTGAATCATCTCGATAAAAAAACTGTTTTAAACGAAACTGTAAATAACAAAGTCACTGCTTTGGATAAACAGGAGGCAAAGTCAAACTACATGCTTTTAGTTTCACAAATACATTAAACACTTATCAAGGGATTTGGACTTGGGGAAAGGTAACCTGAGAGATGAAAGAGAGGTAGTCTACTAAATCTTTACAATGGCCATCTTTAGAGCTGCATAGAGAAATTCAAATACCAGAAAACTAACCTTTTCTTATAGAATTTTTTAGGAAAGTTTTCCTATAGCTTTCTTGTCCCAAAATGAAGTTCTCATCTGTTATTTTTCTACAGATTAATTTTAATTAATCAACTAACCAAGAAATTTCTCTTAGGCTAAGTACATAGGCCTCATTCCAAAGGCATCCCTGAACAGTGAAATCATGTGATTTACCTGTTGATTACTGTATCATCCCTTTCTAAAATACAAATTCCATGAGGAAGAGACCTTGAGGAACTTACTAACTGCTGTAACCCAACATCTAAAACAGTATCTGACACACACAGGCATTCTAACAAGTATTTACTTAATTTGTTGAACAAATGAAATAACTTGCCAACATTCATACTAGAGATTGTAAAGTATTTTGTAAACTTATTTTCCTAGAAATGTAGGTTAGAAAAAAGAAATGGCACTTAAATTTAGGGAAGAATAACAGCAAGCACAATCAAAGGCTATGTCACCTACACCTACATGTAACTCCTACCACATAATAGCCAGAACATAGGAGATGAATTCATTCTTTGTTTTTTGAACACAGAAAGCAAGGGTGGTATTGATGGTTTCAAAACAAAATAATGTACTTAGGCTACTGAATTGTAAACTTAAAAAACAATCACAATGGTAAAATTTAGAATATGTATAGTATAGTTTACCACAATTGTTACAAAATGAATTTACCTTTTATCCAAAGCTCTCAATACTTTACCAAAAACTTCCAATTCACAAAATTCACTGCCCAGTTGACACAAGCGTCCCTGCTGGTATAGCTGAAATTAGAAACAAACAAAAAATAGATCACTGAAAAAAATTTAATCCAATTTCTACTTTAATGATACTTATAATTTCATGGACTTAATACTTCATGAATCATGACTACTGCTCAAAGTTACAATTACACAGTAATATCAGAAAAGATGCTTATGCTAAAAGAAATGTAATGCCAAATTAACAAATCTCTGTAATTCATACATTTTAACAGTCATATAAAATAGCTAGATATTAATATTTATAAAAGAGTATCTGGTAAATGCTAAGTAACAAAAAATGCTATATATTATAATTATCTATTAACATTAAAACAGTTATAGTCAAGAAACTTAACTTTTTTCCTTAAAACTGGATAAAGTAAAATTATCAAAATAATAGCAAAGATAATGTCCAGAAGCCAGAAATAGGCACTATGCCCCATTAAGGGCTCTTCAGACCACACGAATCTCAGATCAGTACTGGGCATGAAACTTCACAAGCAGACTAACAGTACATCATGTCTAAAGCAATCCAGTATGGCACGATTTCTAATCATGTCACTCATTCATTCCTTTTGCCTGACTTTCTAAAACTTCCATTTAAAACAATATTTAAATAAGTGTATTAAATGTTTATCCCAAATAATACATACACACAGTTAAAAAAAATATCACTGCCCCTCTTTCCCATGCCTCAACTTCACCATATGTCACTCAATTTATATTTGCTATACAGCGCCTTATGGAAGGCAGAGATTTTGCTCTATCAACTCACTTTTTACATTATAAGCACTTAACACTTAGCTCATTTGACAAAAACATGCGTTTCAGAAAGAGGACATGCTCCTGAATTCATTTGCCAAATAGGCTAGTTAATTTTGCACAGGGAAAACATATTACAAACTCAACCAGCAAACTCAACCAGCAAACTCAGGGATAAATCACTAGTCGCAATGGGGGTGGAGTGTGTGTGTGTTGGCGGGGGGATGTATGGGGGGTGTGTGTGTCAGTTGCTCAGTCGTGTCTGACTCTTTGCAACTCCATAGATTGGGGCCCGCCAGCCTCCCCCATCCATGGGAATTTCCAGGCAAGAATACTGGAGTGGGTTGCCATTCCCTTCTCCAGGGGATTTTTCCGACCCAGGGATCAAACCCTGGCCTCCCGCCTTGCAGGCAGACTCCTTACTGTCTGAGCCAGCAGGGAAGACCGGTCATGAAGGGGGCCAGGTCATATTAGGTAGATACAGGACTACCACGCAACAATGACCACTTTGCAGGGACTTCCCTGGTGGTCCAGTGGTTGGAATCCTCCTTCCAATGCTTGGGATGAGGTTCGAACCCTCGTCAGGGAACCAAGATCCCACATGCCGCAGGGCAACTAAGCCCGCAGCACGACTACTGAGCCTGCATGCTCCAGAGCCCGTGATTCCCAGGAGAAGGCCACGTGAAACAACCAAGACACACACATCCCCTCCCCCAGCCCCGAAGACTTCTCTGAACCATCCATGATGACTGCTGGGGGGGAGAGAGGGTAAGAACTACCTACCACATGCTCAGGAAGGGGAGGCAGAAAGGTTATCTTCACACAGTGGTTGGATACTCATATGAACCATAAACCTTCATAAGGAAAGATTTGCTATTTTTGGAGATGATTACGTTTTCTGTGGTAAAAATAAATAATAAAAAGAGCTTCTTGGAATGCATATGATAAAATTCACTACCATCACATACATCTTCACTATTAACCAACAAAGGAAAAACTCAGGAAAAATAAAGCTGAGAATTCATAATCAAACCCCTATTTTGGGACTTACCAGTATTATAAATTTCTGATTTGGGACAGAAAAATAAACGCAGTTAACAAAATACATACATATACATACTTCAAAAAGAGTTTAGGACCAAAAAACCTTAGTTTCTTATCAAAATAACCCACTAGTAAACTTAATACTTAGAATTTCTTTTGTAAAATATAAGAAATGAAAGTTATACCACTTTTTTACCTGTATTCACTAGTCAAATAAAAACAATTGAACTATATGTTCTATAACGCATAATATCCCTTTAATACTGAAAATTTCCTAACAAATGGGGTTTGAAGGAAAGCTGTAAGCTTAGTTACCATTTTAAATGTATTAAAAGTATGCCTATTATCGGGTGGAGAGGGAGGTGGGAGGGGGGACGGGGATGGGGAATACATGTAAATCCATGGCTAATTCATTTCACTGTATGACAAAAACCACTGCAATGATGTAAAGTAATTAGCCTCCAACTAATAAAAATAAATGAAAAAAAAAATAAAAAAATAAAAGTATGCCTATTAATAAACACAAGCTTTTTTAAAAATCTCTCAGGAGTTCACTTTTTCTGGCTACAAATGGGTCCACATTTAAATCTGGGGTAAAGAATAGTGATTTAACTGTTTCAAATGATCCAATCATCTTTTCATGCACAGGAGCTATACTTCAGTTAAAAAAAAAACAAAAACAAACACCTTATCAGGCTTCTCCCCAAAAATGCAAATTTATACATTATATGAACAGGACTTCTGAATACCAATCCAAAATAAACAGCATTTACTGTGCCAGGTACTGTTCTAAGCACTTTTCATAAGCAACTCATTCTGTCCTTCCACAGATAAGGAAACTGAGGCATATAAAGTTAAATAATTTGCTCAAAATCATACAGTTAAGAAGCAGCAGGATGACAATCTCCAGGCAGTCTGTCCTTAAATCCATGTTCTTCATAACTTACACTATAATACTTTTCAAAGGTATTATATCAGGAAGTAAGAAAGAGTATAAAACAAGCAATTTAAAACATTTTTATAGAAATAATAGAAGATTAATTCCTTCTTAGATTCACGTATCTTACAGAGTAGAGCTTAGAAGAAAGAAAACTGAGGCCCTAGGTTCTTTGATAAGGATTCTTACATCAGATATTTCAAAATTTGACTTATTTTAGTTCATTATTATATAATGTGTTTTAATATTAAATTCTGCACCCACTGAGTAAGGAGGTTATTAAAGCACTAGCAACTACTTTTAGCTATTGATACCTTAAAGAAAATAAGAAAGAACAAGTTTATTTTTTAAAAGTATGTAAACTATCTCCCAACAGATACGAAAACAGACAATAAAAATACAACTAAAACAATACTGTACAAGTATGAAGACTGACCAATCAACGGAACAAAATGCAGAGTTCAAAAGCAGATCTTAGTATACATAAAAACTTAACATTTGATAAAGGGAGCATTTTAAAATCATTAAAAGAAAAACTGAGTTAATAAAGAATGCATAAAAATGAAGAAAGAAAGTAAGGTACCTCCTGATAGAACAAAAATAAATCCCAGTCTTATCAAAGTTCTAAATATTAATATTAAACAATAAAGTAACATCCATGTTAAAAGTTACCTTGTAACACTGCCCTTCTAAAAGCATTCTATACTACAGGCAAAATCATAAAGGAAGAAGAGATATGTGATTTCATAAACACCGAAAATGTCCATGAGTATAAAATACTGTAAACAAAAATTAAAAATATAACAAAAGTAAAATATTAGGAACATACTTGTGTTGGATTTAATATCTTGAGTACATAAAGGGGTGAAACTCGTGGTGATGTTTCAGAAGCAAGGGCTTTCAGACATTAAACATTTTTTCTATAAAAACTGAAGGCAGCTATTGCAAGGGTAATGCAAGACAGCCTCAAACCCAGAGAACTCTTTGCAAGATAAAGATGGAGATGAAAGCCTTCCTTAGCCCAAGACATTCTGAACTGACATACCTGCTTTCTCAGCCAATCCAAAATTACCAGGCTGAGTGAACAGTTTAGCATTAATAGCTAACAAAATAATCTAGGCTAATTCCCAACAACAAAAACTTCAGAAAGGTTTAGAAAAAGACATAAAAGAAACAGCCCAAAACTATGGTCTAAGAATAACTACGAAGTCACAAACACACCCACTCACACATACTTTATGAAACTCATGTATCTCACTCATGTCTGGAACAGTTTCCCCTCTCTTTTAGTCACAGAAGAACTGCTGATATTGCGCTTATGGTGGGAGCACCAAGCGGAAGGAAAACGAGAGAAGGCAGGATGCAACAGTCCAATAATCCCTAAGCATCTATGGTACAGGATTTATATTTCACATCTTTTACCGGATTACTGCAAATGTTTCATAAAACTAGTCTTTCCATCAAACCAGTCAATCCTAAAGGAAATCAGTCCTGAATATTCACTGGAAGGACTGATGCTGAAGCTGAAGCTCCAATACTTTGGCCACCTGATGCGAAGAACTGACTCACTGGAAAAGGCCCTGATGCTGGGAAAGACTGAAGGCAGAAGGGGATGACAGAGGATGATATGTTTGGATGGCATCACCAACTCAATTGACACGAGTTTGAGTAAGCTCTGGGACTGGTGGACTGGGAAGCCTGGCGTGCTGCAGTCCATGGGGTTGCAGAGAGTCAGACACAGCCGAGCGACTGAACTGAACTGAGTCTTTCCATTACCATTCTTGTTCTCCTCTAATCAACGTCCACATAGCAAGCAGAATGAACTTTTGAAAAAGTGAATCATTTCATGCCATTACTGTTTAAAAGCATGCACCTTCAATGTGTACGTAATCCAAAATTGTTAATGTGGTCTACCAGTCTCTAAAAGTCATCCAACTCCTACTAGCTTTCAAACCTCATCTTTCACCATTCTTTCTCCCTGATCCCCAACACATTTCTGTCACACTAACTTTCCTTTACTTCTATTCCACCTTCTGACATTTCGTACACAAACCTGCTGCCTGCACATGAAACACTGATGCCATGATTCTTTATTTGGTTAATTTCTAACCATCCTACTGATCTCAGCTAACACCTCACTTTTTCAGAGACCTTCCCTTGACTCCCCAAACTAAGTTCTGTTCCCTGTTATACCTGCTCATAATATTTATTTTTCTTCCACAGGTGCACGAAGGCATGCACGCACACATTCATTTAAGTGATAAATTTGTTAAACATG